TGTTGTTAGCCGCTCTGAGCCCGGCTTTGGCTGGGGAGGGCGGGATATATAAATATAAATAATATAAATATGAATATAAATATAAATATAAATATAAATATAAAATATTTAGGGGTATTCTCATTTTTACTCAAGAAAAATCACCATTTCATAGTGCAAATTGGGAAGAATGAATACAGTAAATGGACAAAAGTACAAAGATTCGCAAAATGTTTAGGGGTTCAGGAACACACACCCCCCAGAAAAAAGCACTGCCTATTCGCCGCCCTTTAGGTCCTTGAAGAGCAAAATATAAAGGGTACACAAATGTATTAAATAAAGTAAACTCCTCTCAGTCTCACCTGGGATTGTATTCCAGCATCTTCTGGGTGGCAAAATCTAGAACCGGAGAGGCGGAAGGGACCCTGAGGATCATCCAGCCCACCCCCTGCATGGCAGGAATAAACAGCTATCCCATCGGGGGATCGAACCTGCAACTTTGGCATAATCAGTACCGCGCTCTAACTGACGGAGCTATCCAGGCTGCGTTTGCGGCCTGGTGCCTATTAGGGGATTGGTAAAGGTAAAGGGACCCCTGACCATTAGGTCCAGTCATGGCCGACTCTGGGGTTGCGGTGCTCATCTCGCTTTATTGGCCGAGGGAGCTTCTGGGTCATGTGGCCAGCAGGACTAAGCCGCTTCCGGCGAACCAGAGCAGCGCACGGAAACGCCGTTGACCTTCCCGCCAGAGCGGTACCTATTTATCTACTTGCACTTTGACGTGCTTTCGAACTGCTAGGTGGGCAGGAGCAGGGACCCAGCAACGGGAGCTCACCCCGTCATTGTGGGGATTCAAACCGCCGACCTTCTGATCGGCAAGCCCTAGGCTCTTTGGTTTAACCCACAGCGCCACCCACGTCCCTATTAGGGGATTGGAGGCCCCCCAAAATGTCTCTCCTGCCCGCCCCCCACCTTCAGGGCCTGCCCCCCTCCACAGGCAGCCCTCTGACCCCCGCCCTGCTTCTCTCTCCCTGCAGGAGATGGAAAACTGGGTGCTGATTGGGAAGGTGATTGACAAGATGTGCTTCTGGGCAGCCATGGCTCTCTTCACCATCGGCACCCTCGCCATCTTCGCCATGGGGCAACTCAATGCCGCACCAAGCAACCCCTTCCCGGGAGAGGAGCTCCAGGAGTAGGAGCACTGCGCATGAATCAGCCCCGAGGTGTGTGTGGCACAGGGAGCTCCTCTCTGTGGCTTCGGTGGGACCTCTGGGGTCTCCAAGCTGCTTGACCTGAATTTTGTGTCCTGCACCCCAACAAGCAGGTCTGAACAGGGGGTTTTTCTGAGTTTCTCGGAAGGCCTGCCCTCACCAAACCCGGATGGAGACATGATGAGCTGTCTCTGCAAAGCAGACCCGGTTGTGTGCGATTGCAAAGTCTGTGCATGTTTGCACAGGCCCGATAAAAGATAATGTGACCAGTGTTGTGCTATTTTGAAACACACACACACACACCCTTTCTGAGCTGGCCTCACCCTTTCTGAGTCCTCCCCTCCAGAGCAGCAGAAAACAAGCTTGTTCCCTCTTCTCGTATTTCCTCCCAGTCTGCTCTTTTCCAGGCTAAACATCCCCAGATTCTTCAAACGTTCCTCATCAGGCTTGGTTTCCACACCCTTCATCCTCTTGGTCTCCCTTCTCTGCACACCTTCCAGCTTGTCAGTATCCTCCTTAAATTGGGGCCCCAAGAATTGGACACTGGATTCTTAGCAGAAACTCGTGTCTTTTCTTGTTTGCAGTAGAATAATTTTGAACCCTGGTTCATGAGTGAGACGGGAGCGGGGCTGCCGCTACCTCGTTCACTTCTAACTTTATTCATTTCACAAAACCTATATACGCCGCTTGATTGTAATAAAAGGAAAGGCGACTCAGAGAGGTTTGCAAAATGAGATAAAACGGGGAAATCGAGAGAGAGAAATTCACGGTTCAAAAAGGTACAAAAGATGAAAGCGCTGAAGCTCTTTTACACTCGCCTCAGTTTTCTAAGCGACTGGGGACAGGCTCGTCTGTTGTTAGCAGGGGCTGAAAATGCAGGGAAGGCGCCTGCTGGATCTCAAGAGGCAGGGAGTTCCGCAGGGCAGCGGTTGCCGCACGAAGCCCCAGTTGCCGGGAGCCCTTTTGGAGGCGAGGCGACCAGAGGAGGACGCCATAATCTGGTCTGGCAGACTTGGGTTCAGCTCCTCTCCCAGGAAAGTCCCAGTCTTGTCTTTCCCTTGGGGAGGGCGCTGGAAGGGGAGGCGGGCGGTGGGGGCCCAGGAAACCACAGAGGGTCTTCCGCTGCTCAGGGCGCAGGAGATTGGGCTGTGGGTTCGAGTCAGGGCACCAGAGAGAGAGAGACGAGCAAGGCGTTGAGTGTGCCCAGGAGAAGCAGAGGAGGAAGGTAAGATTGGGGGGGTGGAAGACATTAATTTTTTTGCGAAGGGGAGGGAGTTCTGCTGGAAGACCCCACAGCCTGCTCATGCCAACTCCGCCACAAAAGCAGCTGGCAAGCTTTTGGGTGCAACAGAATTCCTCATCAGGCTGGAACGAGAAGGGGAAACCATGTTCTTAGCTGTGGCGAGAAAGCTTGTGGTTCGCTCCCTGGAAAATGGAGTATTTGTGTGTTCTGCACTCGGGATTGATTGATTGATTGATTGATTGATTGATTACCCAGCCTTCATCCTAAGGTCCCCCCCAGGACGGGCTGCAGCATCAAAACACAATATAATTAGAAACTGATTTAAGTACCGTATTTTTCGCCCTATAGGACGCACTTTTTCCCCTCCAAAAATGAAGGGGAAGTGTGTGTGCGTCCTATGGGGCGAATGCAGGCTTTTGCTGAAGCCTGGAGAGCGAGAGGGGTCAGTGCACACCTCGGGCAGGCTCCGGATGGTGGCGCAGAGCTGCCTGCAGTCCCGGGATCAGCGCACTTATCCCCATCGCCAGCCCCACAAGCTCAGGGGACAGCGGGGAGGCAGAGCGTGCCTTCCCACTGTTCCCCGACCTGGTTCTTCCAGCCCCACACCTGGGGGGGAAATAAAAAAAAATTCTTTATTTCCCCCCAAAAAACTAGTTGCGTCGTATGGGCCGGAGCGTCCTATGGGGCGCAAAATACGGTAACTGAACCACCACAGAAATAAGGCGGGTCATGAAAAATAGCCCTCGAGTGTCAAAAGAAGTCAAGCCAGAGAATGAGAGTCTTCGGCAAGGCGCCGCTCCTTAGGCAGGGAGTTCCACAGGTCAGGGTCGCCTCAGAGAGGGCAGGCCTCTCCCCCCGGATGTCCCCCCCACCAAGGCTCCAAGGATAGAGGGAATCCCGAGGGGCCCCCTCTGCTCACCTCAGCACTTCGGAGGGTCTGGAGGGAGTGAGGGGGATCTTTCAGGTGTTGGGGGGCCTGAATATTTCAGGGCTTGGAACCTTGAACTGGGCCCGGAAATGAAACGGGCAACCAGCGCTGCTGTTTTGAAACAGAGGTGATGTCAGAATTGCAGCCCTGGAAAGGCACCCAAGGGTCATCTAGTCCAACCCACTGAGATGCAGGAACTTGAACTGAAGCATCCCTGACAGATGGGCCCCCAATGGTCAGGGGTGATGGGAGTTGTAGTCTAGCAAGAGCGGGAGGAGGGGCGCAAGTTTCCCACCCCTCCTGGGTCAGAAGAGATTCATTAAATCCACTTTTGTCTCTCCTGGCCAGAAGAGGCGCCTCGCTTCCCCCTTAGTCCCAGGGCAGGGATTCCCCTTACTTACTCCGGCCTTGGGTTTCAAGCGTCCTGGGGCTTCCCACTGAATTAAGAGGTAAGCACAAGAGCCTGAAGACACCCCCCCCCGCCTCCCCAGGAGGCCAGCCTGTGTTTCTGGGTCGCCCCCAGAGGCACCTCAAAGCCATTTCCCGTGGGGTTTCTGCTTGGAAGGTCACGATCCAGCCGAGCTGTCATTTGGGGCGCATCTGGACATTTGAGGTTCCTCCAGTTTGGCGAACAGCATCAGCCCAAAGGAAAGTGTTTGCGTGCGTGAGAGAGAGAGAGATCGACAAGCAAACCACCCTAACTCGGAATCGCTTGCAGAAATGTTTGGTTGCAAGCAGGGGGCTAGACTAGATGTCCCTTGGGGGTCCCTTCAAATTTCGTGGTGTGGTGGAATATAGTTCCCTCCATTGCCTGTTGGAAAACCTTCTCTGAGACAGAATGCAGTTGGCTCGGGGGCTCATAGGACCCCTGCTGCTCCTGCTCTGACGTCAGAGGCCCTTCTCCCTGGCCGGACCCTCGGATCCCTCGGGTGGGCACGTCCTGGGTGCAGGCTGGGCGGGAGACACGGCAGTGATGTTTCTGCAGGAAGCCCCAGAGACACCCCCCCGCCCATGAAAAAAGGTCAGGGAGGAGCGCACGCCTCTCTCAGCATGCAGAAGGAAAGCTGGCATGGCTTCCCAAGGAGAAGGAACAGTATTCTGCATGTGCTCAGAGGCAACCTTGTTCTTTGCTCGGCCTGTTCCAGCCTCGAGGCGATGCGCTCAAGCTCGGCATACGCGGCACCTCCGCGCCCTTTCCCCCTGACATCCCAGATGGGCCTGAACAGGTTCCCACCTCATCCTCGGGATCCTGGGTGCGCGCCATCCTAACGCAGAGGTGCGGCGTCACCTGCACATGGCTGCAGGTAGTGTGCGCGATGTCACACGCACCATGTGCAGCAGGCATGTACCTGGGGCATCTCAGGTCCGTGTTGCAGCGGCCAGCGGTGGCAGCTCCTTCTCTCTGCAGCCAGCGAGGCCCCCTTCTCCTTGGGGAGCTACTCGGAGACCCCTCTGCCTCTGTGCCCTAGCCCCCCACGGAAAGGGGGCCTCGCTGGCTGGCTGCGGATGGGGGGAGCTGAACTGTTTCCCTTGGAGGCAAGACCACCAGCTTTGCCCACAGCTTGCCCGCCCCCCCCCAATTATATTATTCTGGGTGCAGTTGTCTCCTCTGTGACTGATGACTGACTGCCTTCCTCTCTCCCCGCCTCCCTCCCCAGCGATGCCGCCTTGCGCCCTGCGCGTCCTTCTGGCGACCCTGGTGGCCGCGGCCGGAGCCCCCGACGCCGCGACGCCGCCCTGCGAGTCCGAGATGAACAAGATCAAGGACCTTCTGCAGGTGAGCTGCGTGGGGCGGGGGCTGAGCAGCGTCCCCGCCGGGCTGCCCACGGACACGGGCATCTTGCTGCTGGGCTCCAACCGCCTGAGCCGCGTCTCGCTGGCCTCCTTCCAGCACCTGAGCGCGCTGGTGGAGCTCGACCTGTCCAACAACAGCCTGAGCGCCCTGGACACCGGCGGCGGCGCCTCGCTGCCCGGCCTCCAGCAGCTCGACCTGTCGCACAACGGCCTGCAGAGCCTGCCCGCCTTGCAGGGGATGCCCGCGCTGAAGCGCCTGGCCCTGGCGCACAACGCGCTCTCGCGGCTGCCGGCGGGGGGATTCCGCGCCCTGCGCGCCCTGGAGGATCTGGAGCTGCAGGGCAACGGGATCCGGGATCTGCCCGAGGGAGCCTTCGCGGGGCTGCAGAAGCTGAGGGACGTGGACCTGGCCGACAACCTGCTGGAGGAGCTGCCCCGGGAGCTGCTGGCCGGGCTGGGCAGCCTGGAGATCCTGCGCCTGGAGAGGAACCGGCTGCAGAGGGTGCCCGAGGGCTTCTTCCCCGAGGAGAACTACTTCGCCTACCTGTACCTGGCGGAGAACCCCTGGGTGTGCGACTGCGCGCTGCTCTACCTGCGCGACTACATCCTGGAGTACGAGACCAGCGTGTATACTCGCGTGCAAGGCCCCGGGATGGAGATCACCGAGAACAAGCCCGAGAGCGTGGAGTGCCAGGCGCCCGCGCCCGAGAAGGGGCGCCCCGTCATGCACTTCCAGGCGCACTGCCAGGGGCCCAAGGGAGACAGCGATGGGGGCCAAGGGGGCGCCGCCACCACTGAGCCCCACTCCATTCTCCACACGACATTGGTCCGCACCGCACCCTCCACCGCAGGGCCAGCCACGCGTGTCCACACCCCACCCTCCACCGCAGGGCCAGCCACGAGTGTCCACACCCCACCCTCCACCGCAGGGCCAGCCACGCGTGTCCGCACCCCACCCTCCACCGCAGGGCCAGCCACGCGTGTCCGCACCCCACCCTCCACCGCAGGGCCAGCCACGCGTGTCCACACCCCACCCTCCACCGCAGGGCCAGCCACGCGTGTCCGCACCCCACCCTCCACCGCAGGGCCAGCCACGCGTGTCCGCACCCCACCCTCCACCGCAGGGCCAGCCACGCGTGTCCGCACCCCACCCTCCACCGCAGGGCCAGCCACGAGTGTCCACACCCCGCCCTCCACTGCCGACCACACGTGTATTTGTCTGTGCTAATCTTATAACTGAGTCTTGCCCTGCCATGTCTGCTTATGCTATTCTTGTACCAAGGACTTGTCTGGCATGTTTGCCAAGGTTAACCCCTCCCCTTTGGTGACATGTCAGTGATGCTGTATGAACTGTATTCTGGGATGTGGTGGGAAAGTTTTAAAAGTCCTTGTCACCCCATCCTCTGGGTTCAAAATTTGCTCTTTGAAACTACTGCGCAATAAACTTTGGTCTACAGCTATTTGCTCCGGTTGGTTGGACTCCTTCCTTTATTCTGCAGGGACCCGCGGGCTCTGCCCGACCAGCTGGGGGACTGAGCAGCCTCACACCCAGATTTTTCCATAACATGATGGTAGAATTGCAGCCCTGGAAAGGCACCCAAGGGTCATCTAGTCCAACCCGCTGAGATGCAGGAACTTGAGCTGAAGCATCCCTGACAGATGGGCCCCCAATGGTCAGGGATGATGGGAGTTGTAGTCTAGCAAGAGCGGGAGGAGGGGCACAATTTCCGCACCCCTCCTGGGGCAGAAGAGATTCATTAAATCCACTTTTGTCTCTCCTCGCCAGAAGAGGAGGCTCACTTCCCCCTTAGTCCCAGTGCAGGGATTCCCCTTATTCTGCCTGTTGGGTGTCAAACTTCCTGGGGCTTCCCACTGGAATTAAGAGGTAAGTCCAGGAGCCTGAAGATGTCCCCCGCCTCCCCAGGAGGCCAGCCTGCGTTTCTGGGTCGCCCCCAGAGGTACCTCAAAGCCATTTCCCGTGGGGTTTCTGCTTGGAAGGTCACAATCCAGCCGAGCTGAATTTGGGGCACATCTGGACATTTGAGGTTCCATCCAGTTTGGCGAACAGCATCAGCCCAAAGGAAAGTGTTTGCATGCGTGAGAGAGATCAACAAGCAAACCACCCTAACTCGGAATCGCTCTCAAATTGGTATTTGACATCCTCCTCCATTTGAAAATAAAAATAGATTATCTCGTGTGAATGTAACTGCAGTCGCAGGATTTGAAAGATGATTGTAGCCAGGGGCAACTCCTTACAGGAGCAGAGGTGTTTAGAAAATAATCACATGTCACACACCAATTAAATACAAAGCTGCAAGGAAACTAACAGAATATGAAAAGATGGCAATAAGAGATAGCATGACGACTAAAGGGATCAATTCCCCTTTCATACAAATGTCCAGAACAATTGTGGAAGGAAGTTTGTCAAAGAGGTGTCTCCAGTTACAGCTCAGGCAATCCAAATAAGCCCAGCCTTACTTGACTGATATACTGCAGAACTGTTCTGTTTGTGGACATTCCCACCACATATGTTCGTATGTACCTATAAACTGACATCCTCTCCCAACATAACAGGACCTCATCGGGCTTCATATCTGATAGGCGCCTCAGTGTTAAAACATCCACACGGACTACCAGCGAGTCCCACTCCCAAGGAGAAAAGATTAGTCTCTGTGGATGTTGAGTTGGCCTGTGTGATGGCCTGGGAATTGGACTCAGAGGCTGAACCTGAGGGATCCCAGCCTGCACACGATTCCCCGCCTCCAGAACCAGCTGAGCCGGGGCTGGGGCATGAGCCTGAAGGGCCCTCACCTGTGCTGGATCCTCAGGTGCAGGCGTCAGCTGAGCCTGCTCTGGCTCCGGAGGTGATGGAGGACCCATTGCCTGCAGGTGCTCCACTCTCAGCCCCGTCAGGGGAAGCTGAGGTTGCGTCTGGGTCCGGTAACCTTCCAAGCTCTCCTGAGCTGCAGAGGCTCAGGGCAGAGAGGTGGAGGGAACTAAGTTCCCGCAGGAGGAGTGCTCGCCTCCAGGCCAGGAGAGGTGAGTCACCTGAGGATCGGAGCCGCCCTAGGCCTCGGGGCAGATAAAGCCGGCCAGACCCAGTCCCAAGTTGCGGCAGCAACATTGTTGGTTGTTAGTTCCTGCCTGCACCCTGTCCTGTCGGAGCTCCTGACCCCACCCGACTCCCCTCCTTGGACCCAGCTACAGCTTTGACGGACAGCCTCCATACCGCACCATCGACCTCGGACTGGACTTGGACCTCGCCTCTCGGTTAGCCCCCGGGACCAGCACAGCCTGTAGGAAACTGGGAGGTGGCAATGCGAAGATCCCTGAGCGCCTCCCTCAGGCTCACGATGGCCGCATCCAGCCCAGGCCCAGCCACTGGGATGGCTGTGTACATTGCAATGCTTTTTAGGATGTGTTATGTAGACCGAGGCCAAAACTGTCTCTCCCAACCTGGCTCCTGCCCCTCTCCTCATAGAAATGGGCTCCCATGAGTCATCTAGATCAACCCCCTGCAAGGCAGGAATCTCCTTGTTCGGTCTGTTCCTTGTGACCCGTCCCAATCCTCTTTTGTTCACACTGAACACCAGCTGGAGGCTCCTCCCTTCAGACGACGCTCTGGTCTCCGGCTCCTCTTAGAATTGCGGAGTCAGACGGGACCCCCAAATCTAGCCCAACCCTCTGTGATGCAACCATCACAGCTCAAAAAATAAAACCCCTGACTCACACAGCCGTCCCACCCGCAGGGAAGGTTTTCCTGCAACACCCATTTGGCGTCTTCCTTCAGGTTCCTGGGAGGCTTCCCACCCCAGCCGTCAGCGCTGCCTCTGAGCTCCTCCCCTCCCCTTTGGCCTTGCAGAGGGGGCGAAGGGGGGAGACCTTGAGCAAAAGATTGAGCAAAGAGGATCCTGCGGACTTGACACAATGGCTTCCTGGCCTCCTGGCCAGAGAGCCTTTCATAATGGACAAAGCTAGAGGAAAGCAACGCTGCCTTCCATCGCATAATAGTCACAGCCCCCTCTTTGTTTTGGTCCAAAAACTGGTCCCAAAGCATTCGCTGTGTAAGAGTTGCAGGATTTTCTCAGCACACCTCCTCAGTGCCAGTCGAATGTACAAGGGGAGCAGGCGGGCAAGCGACGTAAACACGTTTGTTACTAAAAGACTCTTTCCTTGCATAATAAGTTGCCCGCCCCTTTTTGGGAAAGAAAAATCAGCATTAAATATGTGAGCGTTATGCGTTTAAATAGGGTAGCCATCGGCAGCCGTCTCCTCCGTGCTCCAATCTTCTTTCAAAGCCACCTGGCTGCCTCTGGTTCCTGTGGGAAGGAGTTCCGCAGATCAACTATTCAGACTTCCACTTATCGGTCTCGAATCTCCCAGCGTTCAGCTGGGTGCCCAACCAAGAGCACACACACCCCAGGCTCCGCAGAAGGACGTCACAGCAGAAACAAAACGTTTTTAAGACCATGATTGGTTTTTACTAAGTCGAAAGCAAAGTTGGGGATGGGGACGGCGGAACCGTCACTGGCCACACGGCCACAACCCAGGCGGCAGTTCCGTTGCGGGGAAGGAAAGGGTACGTCCCACCGGCGGCCCCCGGCCCAGAACTCCCCACTCCCCTGGCAATAAATAATTTTAAATGCATTTTAACCCCCAAAAAAACACAGCGTTCTCCACCATCTGCCCACAGTGCACCAGGAGGGGAGAAATCCTGCCTCATGATCGGCTAGATGTGTGTGTGTGTGAGAGAGAGATGGGGAGAGCAGGCCTAGACACACTCTGAAAAAATGAATTTTTAAGGGGTGGGGTGAGGGAGAAGGCAGGCACCCCCTCCCTCCCCACAGGTAAGGGGCTCTCGGAAGGTGCGCTCATGGCACTTGAGAAAGGGGAGCTCCAGGAGTCGAGGGGGGGTCTCTCCTTCGCTCCCCCAAACTCAGGCACTGAGGAAGAACTGCTTGTAGAACTTGTTCATCTGTTCGAGGAAGATGAAGGTGAGGACAGTGTGGGGGCCCAGGCGCGCGTAGTAGGGTGTGAAGCCTTTCCACAGGCTGAAGAAGCCCTCGTAGCGGATCACTTTCACCAGCACGTCCTGCAAGGCAAAGGGAGGTGGGGTCAGGGGCAGCGATGGTGCAGTGGTTAGAGCTAGGGCCGCGGCGCGAAGGAAACTCACTGGGGGAGAGCTTGAGGGCCGGGGAATCACTCTCTCCACCTGACCCACCTCGCATGGTGGGTGTTGTTTTGGGGATTAAATGAGGTGGGGAGACTCCTAGTAAATTAGCAAAAATGTATAGGTTAAGTTCAAATATCTGCTGGAAATGTAAAGAAAAAGAAGGTACCTTTTATCACATGTGGTGGAACTGTAAGGTAACAAAAGCTTTCTGGCAGATGATGTATAATGAAATGAAGAAAATGTTTAAAATAACTTTTGTAAAAACACCAGAAGTCTTCTTATTAGGAATTGTAGGTACCGACAAACCAAAGGATCAGAAAAGACTTTTTATGTATGGAACAACAGCAGAACGGATGCTACTAGCCCAGAGATGGGAAGAAGGAAAAGTCTCTACCAGAGAGGAATGGCAAATAAAGCTGTTGGACTATGCGGAAATGGCAAAACTGACTGGAAAGCTCAGGAAACAACAGGGCAGAAACTTTAAAAAAGAATGGGGGGAAATGTAATTTATTTAGGAGAGCACTGCAAGCAGACGAAAACATTAGCAGGGTTTTAATCTCACTTGTAATGCAACAAACAATATGTCTAATATGGATGGATACAAAATATAGATTATGGAATAATGTGCAGTTGTCAGTGTGGACAACAGGACCCATGGAGGGGATGGGAAGTCTCAAGATTCAGAGTAATCCTCTATATATAGACATGCATTTGGACTGTTATAAGTTTCTATTTGTAAAATCAAATAGAAAATGATTTCAAAAACAAAAAAATGAATGAGGTGGGGAGAGCCAGGCAAGGATGCCCCCCTTGCACCCCATGGGGAGAAAAAGGTGGGGTGCAAATGTGGTAAGAAGGAAGGGGATGGTGGAACAGGCAGGAACCCGAGGGATTAGCTGGGGTTGGACTGGATGACCTCTGGAGGTAAGAAGAGGATGGTGCAAAGAGAAACAAAATGAAGGAGTCTTAAGATTGTTTGGGAAGGAATCAGGGAAGAAGATGGGGACTGAGAGAGCTGGGGCAAGGCAACTGACCTACTAGGAAGAGTCGCTCGGCTCCCCAGGCCTGAGCTGTTTTGCTTCTCTCCATAAAGAGAATTTCACCAGCCTTCTGCAATTTATTGCTGGCAGCGGGGAGGTGGGTGTCTGGTGGGCAGATATAACAGTGGGAGGGCAGAGGAGGCCTGAGGGGGTCACCAGCCCCTGTGCAAACCTAGCTCTCCCAGAAGGGAAAGAGCAACCAGCCGCCTGGACTTTGGCCGCTTTTCTCCTCCGGCAAAACGAGACGCACCGGAAGCCGACGGGGCAAAGTCCGGGGCGGAGAGAGGTCTGTTTTGTGCCTGCCAAGCAGCCCCCTCCCAATCGGCTGCGGCAAGAAGCAAAACGCCTCTCCAAGGGCAAGAGAAGGGAGGCCGGCACTGGCCCCCACCACTGGCGGAGGAGCAAAGAACAGAAGTGAAACCCTGCAGGATCCGACCATTGGTCCACCCAGCCCAGCGTCTGGTTCCCACTGTGGCTGACCAAATGCCCCCAAGGGGAATCCAGAAGCAGTACCTGAGCGCAAGAGCAACCCTCTCCCCTCCTGCCTGCGGACTGCCTAGCCAGAGTGGCGCATGCTCTGGTTATCTCCCGCTTGGACTACTGCCATGCGCTCTACGTGGGGCTACCTTGGAAGGTGACCCGGAAACTACAACTAATCCAGAATGCGGCAGCCAGACTGGTGACTGGGAGCGGCCGCCGGGACCACATAACACCAGTCTTGAAAGACCTACATTGGCTCCCAGTACGTTTCTGGGCACAATTCAAAGTGTTGGTGCTGACCTTGAAAGCCCTAAACCAGTGTTTCCCAACCGGTGTTCCGCGGCACACTAGTGTGCCGTGAGACGTTACCTGGTGTGCCGTGGGAGGGAGGCGGGCGCTTTCTCGTTCGCGCCCTGCAGCGAGAAGGGCAGCGCCGCGCCGCAGAAGAGGCCCAGGAGGCAGCAGGCGCCCAGCGCGCGCCCGAGTCCCGCCCAGCTCGCCATGTCCGCCCGCAGCATTGGCGACCCGAGCCAGGCTCCGCGCGCGACGCCCGTCTTATGGCGCGCGCCTCTGCCGAACGCTCAGCCCCGGCGCGAGCGGCTTAGCAACGCCGTCCAATCAGGGCGCATCTCGGCTGGGCGGCCGCGGCATTCTGGGAAATGTAGTCCTCGGGCAGCAGCGGCATTCTGAGAAGGCGCGCTTCTTCGCCGCTGCGCCTTTTCTTCCTCATTCCTTCTTTGCTAGCAACGCAAAAAGAGGCGGAGGAGGAAGAGCTGCTGGAAATGCCTGCGTGGGCATCGGCGCCCCCTTTCGCTGCAATAAGACTCCGCTAAAAACTGCAGTTGGGCAAGCTTTTGTTCCACCCTCGTTTGAACTGCGTTTGCAAAGGCTCTTCCACACCATGATAAACAAAATCCCACTCTCACTTTTTTACAAGTTTATGCTTTAATGGCTTTGATGGATTTTGTTAGCCCCTTAAAAACACAGAGAGAGAGAGACTAAGCCACTTCAGATTGCCAAATTCTTTGTTTTCAGTCATCCTTACCACTCCGTACCCTTTGATGCGAAAGGATTTATTTAGGATCCTGCATATTTTCATAATTTTGAAAGCACTTTAAAAGTATAATGCAAACAAGCAGTTAGGAGCCTTTGCTGAAATCCAGAAACCTCCGCCACGAACAGATGTAATTTTGAATATACCATGCAGCAAAATCCACCAGCAATGAGGGCTGATTAAAACTTGTACTTTTGCACATTCTGTATCATGACTTTGACATCCTAGTACAAATTACTAGGGGCTGTCAATAGGTTTAAGTAAGCATGAGGCCGTTGTGGTCACACATTAAATTCTTATATTCTGGAATATAAGAATTGTGGAGGAGGTGTTTTACGCCCTCAAAACAGCAGGTTCACATCCTGGAAACACTCCTGGTTCTAGATTAACATACCAATATGAGTCCAGTTTTGGGAAATTCACTTTAAGGATCTTCTGGTGGATGAGAGGCACTTTAGCACTCTCTCCCCAAAACCCTATAATTAGGATTAAGGCACTTTTGTGGGGATTGCTTAATTTCGTTGTGGGCGCTTTGATACGGTTTCTTATGAGTGCATTTGGGTAATTATGTAAATATTGCCATGTCGTAAGCCGCCTCGAGCATGGTTTTTAACTATGGAAACAGCATGCAAATGACGATGATATCTAGGGAGGTTTCAAAGGCTTTGTAAGCAGAGTGAAGGAAAGAAATCCAGATGTGATTGTTACGCATTGTTTTTTGCACCGTGAGGCCCTCGTAGCCAAGACTTTACCAGCAGACCTAGTTCATGTGTTGGATGATGTTGTGCGCATGGTAAACAGGCCCAGGTTGCGCACTGAATAAAGTATTTTATAATTTTTCATATTTCTGTTTACTTACTATTTCATAATAAAGTAATTATAAAAAACTATCTTTGTGTTTATTTGATTCCTATTAAAGAGAGTTACTTTATATATAGTCAATATAGGCACAGAGTTAATTTTTTAAACATTTTCTAATGGTGGTGTGCCTCGAGATTTTTTTCATGAAACAAGTGCGCCTTTGCCCAAAAAAGGTTGGGAAACACTGCCCTAAACGGCCTCAAAGGCCGAGTAGACCTGAAGGAGCGTCTCCACCCCCATCGTTCTGCCTGGACACTGAGGTCCAGCTCTGAGGGCCTTCTGGCGGTTCCCTCCCTGCGAGAAGCCAAGTTACAGGGAACCAGGCAGAGGGCCTTCTCGGTAGTGGCGCCTGCCCTGTGGAACACCCTCCAACCACATGTCAAAGAGAACAACAACTACCAGACTTTTAGAAGACATCTGAAGGCAGCCCTGCTTAGGGAAGCTTTTAATGTTTGATGTTTTATTGTGTGGCTGGGGAAACCTAGCCAGATGGGTGGGATATGTATGTAAAGGCAAAGAGACCCCTGACCATTAGGTCCAGTCGTGGCCGACTTTGGGGTTGCGGCGCTCATCTCGCTTTATTGGCCGAGGGAGCCGGCGTACAGCTTCCGGGTCATGTGGCCAGCAGGACTAAGCCGCTTCTGGTGAACAAGAGCAGCGCATGGAAACGCCGTTTACCTTCCCACCAGAGCGGTACCTATTTTTCTACTTGCACTTTGAGGTGCTTTCAAACTGCTAGGCTGGCAGGAGCAGGGACCAAGCAACGGGAGCTCACCCCGTCATTGCGGGGATTCGATCGGCAAGCCCTAGGCTGTGTGGTTTAACCCACAGCGCCACCCGCATCCCTTGGGTATGTATGTATGTATAAATAAATAATAATTATTTCCAGCAAATGGCGTTCAGAAACATTGCTGGCTCCAGCTGTGAAGGGAGAGCAAAGGTTAGGAGCTCTCTGTGTGTTTTTCAACTCAGGGACACAAGCAAGGAAGCGAGGGAGGTAGACTCCTCCCGCTCTGCATACTGTGGGCTCCGTGATCCGTCTCCAGGGCCCTTGGCTGGGAGGGCAAAGTCCTCCTCCGAAGGGAGAGGGGCCTGGGGTCCAAAGTCTCCCCCCCCTTCCAGGGGGAGAGAAGGAGCAGGAAGCAGCTTCCCCCTGCCAGCCAGGGAGAGAGGTGGCCCTTTGAACTGCAGGCCCTGGGCTTGGCTCTGGTGTGGGGCATGAGGCAAGCTGTGGGGAGAGGCAGGGGGGGGTGAGAGAGTGAACCCAGCCTCCCCTCTTCCCCATCAACTGCAAGGCATCCTGAGCAGCCCACTCCAGTTACTGCTGATAATAATATTAAAAAAGATTAAAATACTGTAATACATCAAACATTAAAAGCTTCCCTAAACAGGGCTGCCTTCAGATGTCTTCTAAAAGTCTGGTAGTTGTTCTCTTTGACACCAACACTTTGAAGGTCAGCACCAATACTTTGAATTGTGCTCGGAAACGTACTGGGAACCAATGTAGGTCTTTCAAGACCGGTGTTATTTGGTCTTGGCGGCCGCTCCCAGTCACCAGTCCAGCTGCCACATTCTGGATTAATTGTAGTTCTGGGTCACATTCAAAGGTAGCCCAACGTAGAGCGCATGGCAGTAGTCCAAGCGGGAGATAACCAGAGCATGCACCACTCTGGTGAGGCAGTCCGTGGGCAAGATAGGGTCTCATCCTGCATACCAGATGGAGCTGCCCTGGACACAGATTTGACCTGTGCCTCCATGGACAGCTGTGAGTCCAAAATGACTCCCAGGCTGCGCACCTGGTCCTTCAGGGGCACAGTTGCCCCATTCAGGACCAGGGAGTCCCCCTACTTGCCCGCCTCCTGTCCCCCCAAAACAGTCCTTCTGCCTTGTCAGGATTCCACCCCAATCTGTTAGCCGCCATCCATCCTCCATCCATCCTCTCCTGAGCAGTTGCTCGCTGCCAAACTGACGTTGTGCATCCTTGAGGACTATAAACCTCTTCCCCCCCCAATGCCAAACCCCACGGCGGCTTCCCTGAATGGGGTGGGGAAGAGAGGCGGGATCCCCCCCCGAAAAAGCCCGGCCCACACTCACCAGCCCGTTCCGGTACTCCGGCTTCCCATCAATCATCCGCATATTCTGGATCCTGGAGGGGGAAATGCAAAAAAAAGGGGGGGTAAGATGCGCACCCTCTGCTGCTGAAGCCGCTTCTGGCCAGTGCGGTACAGTTGTGGGAGTGTTGGACTAGGAGCTGGGAGAGGCTGGGGTTTGAATCCTCCACTCAGGCATGGAGCTCGCTTGGGTAAGACCTTGGGGGCCAGCCACTGAGGTCTCTCAGCCTGGCCTAGCGCACAAGGTCGTTGTGGGGATTAAACGAGGAATCAGCTTGAGCTCCTTGGAGGAAAAGGCGGTTTAAAGGCCATAAAGAAATCAGGAACAAATTGGCTATTTGGCACCTGCCTCGTGCAATATTTCTCTTCCTGCCTTTTGTCTCCCTACCCTGTACCTGGTCGTGCTCAATTGTTTGTTTCTCTTGTTGAAATTTGGGGGTGTTCTGCTTGTTATACATTTAATAAAGTCCACAAATGACAACATTTTGGAGGTCTCAAGTCGCAAGGTGGGTTAGATTGGTCTCAACTAGGGCCAGGGCCTTTTCAGTACTGGCCCCGACGTGCTGGAACGCTCTGTCCCAAGAGACTAGGGCCCTGTGGGACTTGACATCTTTCCGCAGGGCCTGCAAGACGGAGCTGTTCCACCAGGCCTTTGGTTCGGACTCAGTCTGACCCTTATGTTTCCCTCCCCTTATGATTTTGACTTTTAAAATGAGGCTGCATTTTAAAATGCATTTTTAACCTGGTTTTTTCCCCTATTATGTTTTTACTGTAATTTTACTGGTGTTAGCTGCCCTGAGCCCGGCTCTGGCCAGGGAGGGTGGGGTATAAATAAAAATATTATTATTATTATTATTATTATTATTATTATTATTAATAAAATAGTAAAAAAAATTGCAAAGAAGAGGGTCAATCCCAGGCTGCCCTCTCCCTCCCTGACCACATTACCCGTCCCCAAAGGCTGCTCTTCCTTCCACCCCCCAGCAGACCCAAGACCCACTTCCTGCCCTCCTGGAACCTGACCTGGTCTTGGCAATATCCACCGGCATGGAGGCTGCAGTCGTCACCAAACCACTGATCATGCTGGCACAGAAGTGGCACAAGATGTTGTCCCGGAAGTAACCTGCGGACGAGGCGGAGGAAGTTTCGGCTCCGGCTGCTGCCGCCATCGCCTCTGGGACCCCTGAACCCCCCTTCCCCTCTGGGAGCCCTCAAGCCCCACAGGAAAGAGGGCGGCAGAGCTTGCAGGGGGCTGACTGGGCTGGCCAAGAGGATAGAGACCCCTCCAGGCCTTCCTCGCCCCCAACTGGGACGCCGCTTACCCGAATCAAGGAGGAACTGCTTGGACTGGGAGTAGGAGGCCAGCTGGGCTGCGTTGACGACGACGGCTCTGGCCATGGTAGGGACGCAGCCCTGGGGGATGCAGGAGAAAAGCCATTAGGGGCTGGGGGCATCGGAAGCTCCCCTCAAGGAGGGGAGAGGGGCTCTCGCCTCACAGTGGAGCAGCAGCTCAGATCAGCGGCCAGGAAGGGCAGCGGGCAGACCAGCCAGACCACTGGGTCCGACTACATTTGTGCTGTCTACACCGACCAGCCAGGACACAGGTGGCGCTGTGGGTTAAACCACAGAGCCTAGAACTTGCCGATCAGAAGGTTGGCGGTTCGAATCCCCGCGACGCGGTGAGCTCCCGTCGCTTGGTCCCTGCTCCTGCCAACCTTGCAGTTTGAAAGCACACCAGTGCAAGTAGATAAATAGGTACTGCTCTGGCAGGAAGGTAAACGACGTTTCCGTGCGCTGCTCTAGTTCGCCAGAAGCGGCTTAGTCATGCTGGCCACATGACCCGGAAGCTGTACGCCGGCTCCCTCGGCCAGTAAAGCGAGATGAGTGCCGCAACCCCAAAGTCAGCCACGACTGGACCTAATGGTCAGGGGTCCCTTTACCTTTTTACACTGATCAGCAGCAGCAGAGGCTCTCCAGGGTTTCAGGGAATAAACATCTCTGTCAGCAGGTGCCGTTAAACCCGGAGCCGGCTAAGCTGTGGCTCTTCCCCTCCTGGGTTGGAAGCCCCAAGAAGGGGCGAGAGGTGGAGGCTGGGTGGCTGAGGCCAGCCTTGTGTCCAGGGCCAGGCCAGGGAACCCAGAACGGAGTCTAAGGTGCCACAGGGCCCTCTTTGATGGTTTATCTTTTTGCAGAGAGACTAGCCTGGCTGCAGCAACCTCAAACCCACCCAGACCCCCAGAGCTGCTCTCTTAAAATGGACGCTGGAGATCAGCGGGAGGAAAGCCCTTGCCCTGGCAGAGGATTGAGCTCTGTTTCAAACACAGATCTGTGTTTGGGGCAAGGAGACCACCGTCTGGCTTAGCAGAGCCCAGAATTAAGGCGAGAGCAAGCTGTTTTTCCAGGCTTGACAGGGAGATCCACCCCTTCTTATTTCGCCCCCAAGTAAGTTTAAACAAGGACACTTGGAAAATGCAATGGGGGAGACGAGAGGCAGCAGGAACAGCCCCCTCGGAAGTCAAACCTAATCCGTTCCGGAAGGACGTTCGACTTCTGAAACATTCAAATTCCAAGGCTTCTTTGGCAGCTAGGCTTTTTGCAGAACAGAAGCCGTGTCGGACGTTCGGGTTCTGAGGAACGTTCGAAAACCGGAACATTTGCTTCCAGGTTTTCGATGTTCAGGAGCCGAAACGTTCGGGGACGGAGCAGTTCAAGAACAGAAGTCTCCCTGTACCTGACCAAGGCAGGTGAGAAAGGGAAGTGGCATTTCAAGAGTCATTTGCCCTTAATACAGAAAGCAGGAAGGGTTTTCTTTCCATTCCATTATCGGCATCAGATAACCAGGCAAAAAGAGGAATTTTCAAGCTCGCCTCTGTGCGTACTCGCAAATGAACGAGAGCCCATTTCCTCCGCTGTAATAAACTCATTAAATGTCAGAAGAGGCCTGACCCTCCTTGTTGGGTGAAACTTGAGCAATCGCGAGGGCAGTCGAAACTTTCCCCCTGAGCCCGCCCCTCTTCCTAAAGGGCCGTACCCTCCAGAGCGTGGGAACCCCCTCCTCGCGGGTTATCCGCAGAAGCGCGTTGAAGACGTTTGTGTAGCCCCTCCTTTGGTCAGGAGGCAACCTGGAACAGAGGAAAGAAGAAGAAGGAAGAGAGAAGACATGAGAAAGGGAGAAGGAACAGGCCCAGGTCTTCCCAACTAGAACTAGCCTGCATTTTTGGCATTCCTTTATCACATGTTACGAAGGAGGAACCTTTGTTTCCAAGACGAGCCGGCCAAATCCGGGACCGGACTTGATCCTCAGATAACATTCTTTGCTTGGAAACAGCTGGACTGCTTCCAGCTCTCTTAGGGCAAACTCCTTGAAATCAGCACACAGACCATAACACTCTACAAATGTCAAAAATGTTTTCTTCCTAATTGCTGGAGGGACTGCAGAAAACTTGGCACATTAGTGGCAGGGAAGTAATTCGCTGCAAGGTTTCGGGAATCCAGTTTCAACAGAAATGATAAATATTACTAAAGGAGCTACAGCTTGCTACCCAAAATTAAAGTTGCTGAGTATTTTCGGTGATACGAATGTGGATATATTGTCCAAAGAATTGGTCTCCTGTATGATCTTGACATCACAAATAATAGTTGCTACTCAAAGGGAAACAGCCCCAAACCTTACACTGGAAGCTTGGTGCTATAAAGAAGAAATTTATAGATAAAGATACAAGGATCAAAACTTCCAGACACTTGCAATATGATTTGGCATTCTTTTAGGACCTAAAGAGCTAAACCATCGTCAGAACCCTGGCACGTGTCTCTGGCGCAAGACTGAATGGGAGAATGCCGACAGTCTTTACTCGGACGCTGGTTATTTCAACCCTGAACTCATTCTGCCTGCCAGTCTTCTGTGTTTGTTTCTTATCTTTCAATGTTCTAACCGTTCTCTCTTGTTTTATGTACGAAATAAAAATTACCGTATTTTTCGCTCTATAGGACGCATCGGACCATAGGAGGGGGAGAACAGGGAAAATAATAATTCTCCCCCTCTCTGCTCAGTGTCCCTTCAGCGAAGCGACAGGAGAAACGGAGCCCCTTCCATTTCTCCTCCCGCTTCGCTGAAGGGGCGCTGTGCAGAGAGGGAAAACTGTGCAGCGCCTCTCCAGCGAAGCGAAGCCTGGAGAGCAAGAGGGATCGGTGTGCACCGACCCCTCTCGCTCTCCAGGCTTCAGGCGGCTATCCGCAAGCCTTTGGAGTGCTGTGGGAACTCCTGCTGCGCTCCGAAGGCTTGCGGATAGCTGCCTGAAGCCCCCAGAGCGCAGTGGGAGTTCGCACTGCGCTCCGGAGGCTTCAGGCTTCAGCGAAAGCAACGCGAAGCCTCTGGAGCGTGGAGGAAGCTCCCCCTCTGCGCTTCAGAGGCTTCGCGTTGCTATTGCTGAAGCCAAGAAGCCTGCATTCGCTCCATAAGACGCACACACATTTCCCCTTATTTTTTGAAGTGGAAAAGGTGCATCTTATAGAGTGAAAAATATGGTATCTGCCCAAACAGAAAAGAGAACCGGTCTGCATTTCACCGCCAGCACAAGGCCAAAAGCGATGGATATGGCACCCACTTCTGGCACAGGGGTGCCCCTGCCCCCTGCCAATGCACCAAGGGGTCTCCCCTACCCACCTGCCGTCGGCCGTCATGCGGATGAGCGCCACCTCGGCAGGCGTGCCCACAAAGGCCCCAATGGCGCCCGCCGTCATCCCGATCACGGCCTTCATGAAGAAGTTGGGGGGTGTCCCGTCGGAGGAGGTGAGCTTCTCAAAGAGGATGGTGTAGATGCCCAGGCGGGTGGTGGTGTAGGTGGCCTGGCGCAGGAGGCCGGCGGACAGCCTGCCAAGAGAGAGGGGGGCACGCGGGGGGAACCCCCAGACTGAGAACCAGAGCCAGAGGAGCCCCTCCTGCCACCCACAGCCACCCACGCCTCTCGCTGGCACTGAAGGGGTTTGCGGCTGCAGCGCGTCGATTCTTTCAGGCTGCGCATTTTTAGCCATGTTCACGCTCCGGGGTCAACTTCAACAAATAATAATGATGATGGCAATTTTAGTGTTTATATGCTGCACATCTGAAGGGGTTGCCCCACTCTGGGCAGTTATTAAAAACAAGACAAAACCTCAAACATTAAAAACTACCCTGTAAAGGGCTGCCTTCGGGGGTCTTCTAAAAGTCATAGTTTATCTGTTTGACATCTGACGGGAGGGCATTCCGCCAGGGGGGTGCAGCTACTGAGGAGGTTGTGGGGCTACGCACCACCCAAATAAACAGGGGGGTTGGCAGCTTAGCCCCCAAGTGGAAACCAGGCCCTCAATACATCCTGCCAGGACAGCCTTTAAACGTCTCTTCCTTCTGCCCCCACAGAGGAGAGGAAGGAAGGAAGGAAGGAAGGAAGGAGAGGAGAGGGAGGATGGATGGATGGATGGATGGAAGGAAGGAAGGAGAGGGGAGGGAGGGGAGGGGAGGGGAGGGGAAGGGAGGAAGGATGGATGGAAGGGAGGGAGGGAGGGAGGGAGGGAGGGGGGGAGGGAGGGAGGAAGGAAGGAAGGAAGGAAGGAAGAAAAGGAAAGGAAAGGAAAGGAAAGGAAAAGAGGAAGGAAGGAAGGGGAGGGGAAGGGAAGGGAAGGGGAGGGAGGGAGGAAGGATAGATGGATGGATGGATGGATGGATGGATGGATGGATGGATGGAATGAAGGAAGGGGAGGGAGGGAAGGAAGGAAAGGAAAAGAGGAAGGAAGGAAAGGAAGGGAAGGAAGGAAGGGAAGGGAAGGGAAGGGAAGGGAAGGGAAGGGAAGGGAAGGGAGGGGAGGGGAGGGGAGGGAAGGAAGGGGCTAGTGGTATATAAACTGAATAAACAATAATAAAAATCACCAGTTCTGCAGCCAAGTGTCCCTGCCATACTCCTCTCTCTCTCTCTCTCACACACACACACCCACAAACACACACCCACACCCACACACCAGGCCCCCCAAGGCCCCTGCTCCCCACGGGAAAACTTACCCGGTGTAGATGCCCCGCACGCCCTCCTTGCGGAGGATGCTCCCCACGGCGTGGAAGCTGGTCTTGTACTCCTTCGTCTTGGCGCCTTCGCCGCTCAGCTGCATCCGGTTCTTCACCAGGTCCAGGGGCTGCACAAACACAGTGGCCGCCATGCTGGGGGGGGGGGAGAGAAGGGGCAAGAGGTCACTTGAGGGCTGGGGGAGAACAGGGAGAAGCGGCAGAACGGGCTGGAGAGGAGGACCACCTCCTGCAACCCCCACCCAGATTTCTCTGATTACGGTCCTATACATTTTGAGGATGGCCAACGGAGTTTTCCCCTGGAATGAAGTTCATCCTTTTCCCTTCCTCGCTTGCAAGACACTCTAACCTGCTCCTCTAAGCTGCTTCCTTCCTACACTCCAAGAAGCTGGACTCAGGGGGAGTCACGGATCGCTCTCTCCACCTCCATGAACTTGTCTCATCCTTCTTTAAAGCTGTCCCTGCCTCCTGCAGCAGAGAGTTCCGCAGTTTCACGATCAGTTAGAAGGACTTTCTGTTCTCTGCCCTGAATCTTCCAAAGATCAGCTTCGCTGGATGCAAGTGGCGCTGTGGGTTAAACCACAGAGCCTAGGACTTGCCGATCAGAAGGTCGGTGGTTCGAATCCCCGCGACGGGGTGAGCTCCCGTTGCTGGTCCCTGCTCCTGCCAACCTAGCAGTTCAAAAGCACGTCAAAGTGCAAGTAGATAAATAGGTACCACTCCGGCGGGAAGGTAAATGGCGTTTCCGCGTGCTGCTCTGGTTCGCCAGAAGCGGCTTAGTCATGCTGATCACATGACCTGGAAGCTGTATGCCGGCCAATAAAGCGAGATGAGCACCGCAACCCCAGAGTCAGGGTCAGGGGTCCCTTTACCTTTAAGGCATAATCAGGTATCCTGGCAGACAGGAGAGAAGCAACACTTTCAAATTTCTGCTGGAGACTGCCTCCTTCTGCAATGTATGTTTGGGGGGTGGTCCTGGGCCCCAGGGTGGGCAATTTCAAAAGTCTCTAGAGGGGCTTGCGCACCATTGTCTCTCCTACCTCCTTGCAAGCAGAGGAGGGAACTCTGTTGCAGCAGAAAAATAAAGATCTGCCTTGCTTTCTCTGGATCTTGCCTCCATCCATTCATCTCTGACCAATCATGGACTTAGGGGACTCAGTCCCTTGGGGAGCTGAACAGCAAAAGCAAAACCCACTATTTTTTTCTGTAGCAACTTTTCTCCCAAACAACGCAGACTTTCCTCCTAAGGGAGCCACCCCTCTCCGCAGAGCGCACAGGAAATATTTCCCTTGTCCTACTCAGGATTCAGTGAGAGCTGGACCATAAAGAAGCCTGATTGCTGAAGAATTGATGCATTTGAATTCTGGTGCTGGAGGAGACTCTTGAGAGTCCCATGGACTGCAAGAAGATCCAACCTCTCCATTCTGAAGGAAATCAGCCCTGAGTGCTCACTGGAAGGACAGATCCTGAAGCTGAGGCTCCAAGACTTTGGCCACCTCATGAGAAGAGAAGACTCCCTGGAAAAGACCCTGATGTTGGGAAAGATGGAGGGCACAAGGAGAAGGGGACAACAGAGGACCAGATGGTGGGACAGTGTTCTCGAAGCTACCAGCATGAGTTTGACCAAACTGCGGGAGGCAGCGGAAGACAGGAGAGCCTGGCGTGCTCTGGTCCAGGGGGCCACGAAGAGGCGGACACAACTAAACAACTGTCCCACTTCAGATCCTTCCAGAAAGCTAAATAAGCCAGATTCCATCTGTGTCCCTCTCCCCAAGGCAGCCTAAATCTGCTTCACACACCCCTCAGTTACATAAGAGGCTTTATTCAGGGAGGGTGGCAAGGAAAGCACCCCAGGAGCCAGAGGAGACCATTCCCCCCCAAAAAAACCTTCCTCCCTAATCCTCTCTTTGCCACACCTCTTCCTGCTCTCCCCAGCTGTTCCCCCGTGAGACACCCCGATATTTGACCGGAGGGGAGCCAGAGCAGTTGGCATTCCATCGCCCCTTCCCCTGATGCGGTTTAATCCCTCGCTTGGCGCTTAAGCGGATTAGCAGTTTGGGCAGCACAAAAGGCACCACTCCAATCACAGAGTGTAGCTCAGCCCCGGATCACTGAATCGTAGAATCATCGCCGGATGTTCGTGAAATCATCTAGTCCAGCGGTTCTCAACCTGGGGGTCCCCGGATGTTGTTGGACTACAACTCCCATCATTCCTTGCTAGCTAGGGATGATGGGAGTTGTAGTCCAACAACATCTGGGGACCCCCAGGTTGAGAACCATTCTAGTCCACGTCCCCCTACAATGCATGAATCGCAGCTAAAGGATCCTTGGCAGTGTAGAAGCTTAGCTCCATAGGCAGAGCGTGAGACTATTAATCTCAGGGTTCTGGGTTCGAGAGCCACATTGGGCGAAAGGATTCCTGCTCAGGGTTGGAGCACCTGACCCTCGTGGCCCCTTGAAACTCTATAATTCTGTGAGCGGATGGCCTCTCTTTGAAAACAGCCAAGGAGCCTCCACCACCTTCCAAAGTCCACCCATTCCAGTGTTGAACAGCTCTTGCTGCCAGAAAGTTCTTCCTGGTGTTGAGTCGGGATCTCCTTTCTCGTAACTCGAAGCCGTGGGTTCGAGTCCTACCCGGAGCAGCAGAAAACAAGCTTGCTCCGTCTTCAGATATTTGAAGATGGCTCTCTTCTCTCCTCTTTCCTGTGTTAAACTTACCAAGCTCCTTCAACCGTTCCTCACAAGGTTTGGTTTCCAGGCCCTTGATCGAACCTCCTCTACGCCCCTTCCAGCTTGTCAATATCCTTCTTTAACTGTGGTGCCCAGAAATGGACCCAGGATTCCAGGTGGGGTCTGACCAAGTCGGAATAGAGTGGGACTGTTTCTTCCCTCGATCTGGACTCTAGACTTCTGAGCCTAGAATTGCATTAGCCTTTTTTGCTGCTGCATCGCGCTGCTGGCTCAGGTTTAGCTTGTGGTCCACTAAGACTCCCCCCCAACCCAAGATCCTTTTCACATGAGCTGCTGGCAAGTCAGGTGTCCCCCGTCTTGAAGGAGGTGATAAGACCCCCCTCCCCAAGCCAGAGCAGCAACACCCGGCACCTAGAGCCAGCTTAAATCCCCCCCCCCGTAATTGTACATATCTCACGTTCCCTGTTTAACCATTTAACCTCTCTCCATGGGGAGCTGCTGCACCAGAGAATCTGAGCTCCCCTTTTCCAGCAACCTCCTTTTGCAGCTTGGACGGTCGTCTTCCAGGGATTCTTCAGTCCTGATTCCAGCATTGCATGGGGCTGACCCTCCGAGGATGCCTTCCAGCCCTATAGATTCTATAGGACTCCTCGCTTAGCCAGCCTCATCCGCTCTTGCACCACGACCCGAGTCCCTGCGACTTCCCTTGGTCTGGACACTAGACTTCTGAGGACGCAGCCTAGAATCGCATTGGTCTTTTTTGCTGCCGCAGCACACAGTGGTCTCAGGTTCAGCTTGTGGCCCCCCAAGACCTCCCCCCTTGACTCTTTCCCTATGTGCTGCTGCGGCCATCCCGTAGTTGTGCACCTGCTTCAGCCTGCCTCAGTGCGGACCCCCAAGCAGATCCTTTCCCTTCATTGTGGTGCCAATCGCCTGGAGGGTCACAGGATGGGAGAAGGGGTGCCTCTGGGGCTGGGGGAGCCCCCCATTTCCCGTGAGCCTTTGCGGCAGATTAAAAAAACCCACTTGTTTCCCTCCCAGGTGCCTTGTACTACAACTCCCAGCAGGTGGGAACTGTAGTATGAGGTGCCTGCAGGGCCCCAGGTGGGCAGAGCCTGGGCCTTTGGGTCTGGGATGGGGGGGGAGAGAAGAGACCCCCCCATTACCCATGAGCCTTTGTCGGCAGATTTTAAAAAACACCTGTTTCCCTCCAGGTGCCTTGTACTACAACTCCCAGCAGGTGGGAACTGTAGTACAAGGTGCTACAGGGCCCCAGGCCAGCAGAGCCTGGGCCTTTGGGTCTGGGATGGGGGGGGGAGAGAAGAGACCCCCCCATTACCCGTGAGCCCTTGCGGCCGCCGGCGGGTGCGCGCGCAGCCAGGCCTGGGGGGGGGGTCTCGGGGCGGCTCTTACCCGGCGAGGCCCCCGAAGAGGAACTTGACGGACTTGGGCGACGTTTTGGGCTTGGCGGGTCCCGACGCCGCCATGACGGCTCCGCTCGCGCCGGGACCAAGGTGACTCCGGCGGGCGAGAGCGAGGGGAGCGCGAAGGAGCCAATGGCTGCGCGCCCAGAGGGGTTTCCGGGGCGGGACTTCCGTCTCGCAGCAGGAGGAGGAGATTGGGAGAAGGAGGCGCCTGCGCAGTAGGCCTCGCGAAGCCGCCCGGAGGGTGGGCAAAAGGAGGGCGACGCGCTGGGCCAATCGGAGCCTTCCTTGGCTCCCCGGGCGAGGAGGCCCCTGCCGGGACTACAGCTCCCATCAGCCCCCGCGGCAGGCGCGCAGGCGCAGCTGGGAATATAGGCTGCTAACTTTGGCTGAGCCGGGTAAATGAATTGACCCGATTTAGTCCGTGTCAAGAATTGCGAAGGCGGCGAGGGAAACGATTGAGTCAGACAAATAATGCATTCTTTCCAAGGACACACACACACACACACACACACATATATAACACATGCACACACAGTGCTTTTTTATAGGGTGCGCATACCCCTAAATATTTTGTGAATCTTTACTTTTGTCCATTTACTGTATTTATTTTTCCCAATTAAAACTATAAAATGGTGATTTTCTTAAGTAAAAATGAGAGTACCCCTAAATAATTTTTTTTTTTAGGAAAAAAAGCACTCCCTCTCTCTGTGTGCGTGTATAAAATAATAATAATTTGTTCTTATTGAGTTGTTTAGTCGTGTCCGCCTCTTTGTGACCCCCTGGACCAGAGCATGCCAGGCCCTCCTGTCTTCCACTGCCTCCCGCAGTTTGGTCAAACTCATGCTGGTTGCTTCGAGAACACTGTCCCACCATCTCGTCCTCTGTCGTCCCCTTCTCCTTGCGCCCTCCATCTTTCCCAACATCAGGGTCTTTTCCAGGGAGTCTTCTCTTCTCATGAGGTGGCCAAAGTACTGGAGCCTCAGCTTCAGGATCTGTCCTTCCAGTGAGCCCTCAGGGCTGATTTCCTTCAGAATGGATGTGTTTGATCTTCTTGCAGTCCATGGGACTCTCAAGAGTCTCCTCCAGCACCAGAATTCAAAAGCATCCATTCTTCGGC